TACAGATATGTATACATACACACACACACGTACGATGTATACATTACCTCAAATCTTCTCCATTCTAGGATGCTTTGTTTTTTGTTGCTGCTGCTGTTGCTGTTGATGTTGCTGTGGTTGTTGCTGCTGCTGGTGTTGGTGTTGGTGTTGGCGTTGGCGTTGGCGTTGTTGTTGCTGTTCCTGTTCCTGTTCCTGTTGCTGTTGCTGTTGCTGTTGCTGTTGCTGTTGCTGTTGCTGTTGCTGTTGCTGTTGCTGTTGCTGTTGCTGTTGCTGTTGCTGCTGTTGTTATTGTTCGTGTTATTGTTGTTGTTCTTGTTCTTCTTGTTGTTGTTGTTGTTGCTGTTGCTGCTGGTGTTGCTGTTGGTGTTGTTGTTGTTGTTGTTGTTGTTATTGTTGTTGTTATTGTTGTTGTTGTTGTTGTTGTTGTTGTTGTTGTTGTTGTTGTTGTTGTTGTTGTTGTTGTTGTTGTTGTTGTTGTTGTTGTTGTTGTTGTTGTTGTTGTTGTTGTTGTTGTTGTTGTTGTTGTTGTTGTTGTTGTTGTTGTTATTGTTCTTGTTATTGCTGTTGTTCTTGTTGTTGTTGTTGTTGTTGTTGTTGTTGTTGTTGTTGTTGTTGTTGTTGTTGTTGTTGTTGTTGTTGTTGTTGTTGTTGTTGTTGTTGCTATTGTTATTGTTGTTGTTGTTGTTGTTGCTGTTGCTGTTGTTGTTGTTGTGTTGGTGTTGTTGTTGTTGTTGTTGTTGTTGTTGTTGTTGTTGTTGTTGTTGTTGTTCTTGTTCTTGTTGTTGTTGTTGTTGTTGTTGTTGTTGTTGTTGTTGTTGTTGTTGTTGTTGTTGTTGTTGTTGTTGTTGTTACTGATATTGTTATTGTTATTGTTATTGTTGTTGTTGTTGTTGTTGTTGTTGTTGTTGTTGTTGTTGTTGTTGTTGTGCATCTCAGTTCTGTTCTATGCTATCCTACCATACCTTTTGAGATTTGGCTAGATAAGCTGTATCAGACCTCATCATGCTACTAAGTAAATGGTGTATCATGACATGTGTCTTATGTTACGATGTCATGCTGTTTTGTTGTATGATAACATATTATGTCATATCATGATATAGTGTTTTTATATAATATTATGGTACACTAGATCATAAGTTGTGTTGTCTTGTAGTATGACGTTTCTTTTGCAGCATTTTACATAGCATGATACGACCTACCTCTTACGCTATGCTACCGTATCATAACAAAACGAAGTCTACACTTTACGCGCATGCCACCACAGCTCAGGGGGTCCTGTACATGCATTCTGGACAAGACTCTGGCAGTAGTGAATCCCTTCGCGACCTAATTATGTCTGAACCCTGTGTGTGACGTGCCGCAAACATGGTCGATGCACCATCAGAAGATCCCACGCCTTCCTGTCGCCGGGCGTCTCGTGGCAAAACGTGCATGGAACAGTCGCCAAGCGGCATGAGCAGCACGACAGCGCTGTCGGGAACTTTGGAAAAGAGGGCACCGTACGTGGACATGATGTGGGGGTGGGAGACACCCAGCATGACTCAAGTCTCCGCCAGGAGATCCCTGGAGTCGTTGCTGCAAGCCTTTGCTGCGTACTCCATCCGCCCATCGGTCACAGCCTGCCTTACTATTACGCTGAGCATTTGCACGCAATCCAACTTCAGATTCGCAGTGTTGGGTGTTTGAGTCAACATCCCTGACCTGAATCCCTGCAACCTGACATCTCCAGCATTTGTGACGTGTAGACCAACATGCGGGTCTCAGCTCGGCTTTACTTCACTTCCAGTGGGCAGCCCCGTCCCGCATTGACAATGGGAATACACATGACCTACCCGAAAGCCTTGCAAATAAATCTCTCCAAAACACATCAACCCTAATAACGAATAATTTAGCCCGAACCCCCACCCAAGCCCGAAACCCCATCCCATGATAGCTCTAGAGCCCTTGTAGAAACCGTACAGAACCGCATTATTGCCCTCAAAGAAAATGAAACCCTGCGAAATGGCAGCGCTGGACCACCTAAACCCTGAACCCTCACCCCCGAACCTGAAAGCTTAGAATCCTAACCCTAACGCCTAAACCCCAAAACCCAAGTCCCTAATCCCTATATCCCTACAAACTCAATCCCTAAACCCCAAACAAAATCTTCCGAATCTATGAACCCTGAAATACTAAATTCCCAATCCCTCAACCCTAAAACCCTCAATTATGAATTCTCAATCCCTAAAGTTTAGGGTTTAGGGTTAGGGTTTTAAACCCCTAACCCAATGCGCAGTCCTGCAGCAGCCGGAGCTTCTTTCGTAGCCTGCAATTTACGTACTATCGGGGCCTGAATATGCAGAACTGGGCTCCTTTAAAGGGTTTAGGGCTTAGGCTTGTAGAACAGGGCTCCTATTTTAAAGGGTTCAGGGCTTAGTAGACTAGGGTTCCTTTGAAGGCTTTTGTTGAGCACCTTTGTCCATCTGCCTAAAAGGTCTTAGGAATCTCGAATTAGTTTCAGGGTTTAGGGTTGTAGAACAGGGTTCCTTTAAGGGGTTTAGGAACTGAATTGGTCTATACCGGTTTCCCGAATCGAACAAGAGTAGGTCTGAGTAGGTTGTACAGCAGGTATATGACACGTGGCCACGGAAACCTTAAACCCTAAACCCGCGACTTGATGATGGGCCAAGGGCTCAGCAAGGTTTAAGGGTCGAGGGTGCTTATTTGAGGGCTTCGCTTGGCAACGCAAATCACGAACTCTCGATCTGGACTTTGAAGTAACCAGGCAGAAAAACATTAGACCTTTGCTTCATACTGGCTCCTTTAAAAATGTGTATTCAAGCATGGTACCAAAGATCCCAGAGATTGCAAACACAAAGCCCTGTAGTCGAGGCACGGAACTTTCCTGCCGTTGCCGAGGAGGCAATGCAGCTGTACGTCTTCGCACAAAAAGCTGTACACAGTCCTTCCGCCATGTCTGAGGTGCTTAAACCTCCTGTCAACTAGCTGGATATCACTTGAGCAGCAGCCCAAAACCTTACAGCAGGATGCTTCCTACCAGTGCAGCTCTAGTAACACCAGTTTGGTAATTACCGTCATCAGATCTCCGCACTCTCGGGCCACGGGCTCCAAAAGGGCACCAGCACGCAACAAACCATCTCTATCTCTAAGGAAAAGGCTGGGTAAATCGTGCAGATGTGGTTTTTTGCCACGACTGCCACCTTCACTGTGTTCAGGCTTCGGCGTGCACCGTAGAACCTGCGCTTTGCGCAGTGCCCGCACCCAACAATGGTCGTGGGTTAGCCGGGACTGCCTCACAGTGGGGACAACCGGAGGTCAAACATCTTGAAGATGCACCAATTCGAAAATTTCGGCGCCAGGCTGTTGGTGGACCACTTCACCACTTCATAACTACCCGGAAAACTCATGCCTGAACCGCAACTGTCACGTGAACATCCTAAAGCCCACTGTTAAAGATCCGACCGAAGCCCTACATTTTAAGGCCCTGAGGCCCAGCCTACCAGCCAGACGTCGCATCCCCGCAGTCACTGCTTGCCAATCCAAAGACCCGCACAGCCCTGAATGTAATACACGGGCCTGGTCGACCCTAACCCTAAGTTTAGGGTTTAGGGTTTAAGGTTCTGGGATTTAGGGTTAGATGTTTTAGAGTTTCTTAATATGATGCCCTTATGTCCTTGAAAGGGTATGATTTAAGGTAATACATCGAACAGGGTTTAGGGGTTCTGGAGGGACGATAAGGGGCTATCATTACCAAATGCCATGGCCTATTACGTATCTGATTTGCCGGCAAGCATGAACCCAGAGGCTCCATGTAACTGTTTAGTATATACCGTGGCCCTAAAGTACCCATATGGGGATTACTTTAAGGCTTAGGTATATACGATATGAGCACATGGAGCTTTAGGGAAAGCCTTAACCCGACAACTCTACCTGCATAACACGTCTAGCACAGGGCCCTTAGTATTACAATGGTGAAACGATTGGCGATAACGCGGCCATCATGGCATAGTCCCTTAGTTGTCCAGCATCGTATGGGAGCTACAGGTTAGCCTTCGGGATTTTAGGATTCCTTATCGTAGTTTCTATATATGACTTCCGAGAGGGTAGGTTATTTGGGCCACAGGTACTCCTAAGTAATCCTGCGGAAGACACCCTAAACCTGAGTCTCTGGGAGTGGGCTTGAAGTCATCTCAGCAGGTCCAAACCGGCATTTCGGGAGCCGGGTAGAAAGCGAGCACCTTTGGGGCGTTAGTTTAGGGGTTTAGGGTTTAGGGCGGGTTACCAGCACCCCCCGGAGCACCCTCTATTCTAAGTACCCACCATTAAGGACCATATGGGCTCTACGAAAGGGTACTTCGGGGGTGCTGAGTTTTTTTTTTTGGCTTTCGGTTTTGGGGTCTGGGCCGTAGGACTTGAGGCGACTTAAGGGTTTGTGGAGGCTTGGGTTCAGGGCCGAGGATTTGCTCCTATTTCGGGCCTGGTTTGGGGTTCAGGGGTTTAGGGGTTTCGGGTTGAGGGTCTCGGATTTGAGGGTTTTGGGCTGGGCTTTCTTTCGATATGAGAACCTCCTTCAAAGACAGCTCGGTTTTCGTGTAAAGGCGCTGTGCTGGAACTCGCACACTTGATACCTGAGCCGAAGTGCGGCAGGTTCGTGTTTGTTTAGGGTTTGGCTTTTCTAAAGCATACCCAGAGACTCCAGTATCCTTTGATTAAGGAATATACCTTAAATCATATTAGCGATCCTAGTACATTTTAAGGCATATTCCCTAATTAGGGGATATTGGAGTTTCTGAATACCCTCAACCCTAAACCCTATAGACAGACACTCGAGTCATTCCTAGCATAAATTAACGTAGGGGCCTTAATGTTTAGACGTTTCGGGGTATAGTGCACCATGATTCCACCACGAAACCCGAATTATTGTATCAGTAGCTATCCCGACCTCTATATTAACTCAAGCTGCTGCCAGTAGTTGGGATCTACACTAAGGCCGCCTTATCTCAGGAACAAAACCGCCGTGACTGATTGCGAGGGGCTTTGGCCTGATACCTTTGACGCAGGTCCTGGAATGACTCCAGCACTTGATTCGGAAGAACATCCTCGAAGCTCTTGATGCTGTCAGCCAAGCTCATGCGCATCAGGGCTTTGCGCAGGTCGTAGACCTGTGTTGGGTGTTCAGGGTTAAGTGTTTGAGGGTTTCACGGTTTAGGGCTTGACTGCTCAGCCGTTTAGGGTTTACAGTTGCAGTGCTCGTAGTTGCAGTAGCAACAGTATTCGTGACCGACGAAACAACAACGGCCAGTATACTCGCAGCAAAGGTGTTGACAGGCTGACTCAGGACGGTACTTGTTCTTACTTATTAATATATCGCACATGGAAACGCTTCATACAATGCGAGAGGCCAAATTCATTGTGGCTGCATGTCATGTGTACTTGTGTCAGATATTGATACCAGTGTCGGCAGCATCGTAACGACTTGCAAGTTATACAGCTATGTAGCTTTCATGCAAGTAATCCTTACATGCCCTCTAAAGCTACACCTGCACCCTGCCTACGATCTTCCGAAAACCTCAAGCCTGTCAATAATCCTAAACGCTTCGAGTACCTTAGACCCTAAACCCCTGGGTTAGCCCTTAGCCCCTCCACAAAGATAAACCCTAAAACCCCATAGTGATCCCAAAACTTCGAAGACCCCCAAGTCTGAACCCTCATCATAATTCGAAACACTTCGGAAACCCGTCACCCTAAACCCAAGCAGCCCGAAAACACTTCGAAAAGTAAACCCTTGTGGTAAGTAACGCTGAAAACTTCGACCACCCTAAACCCCTACACCTAACAGTCACCTGAAGCTCTGTGTGCCTGTTTCTTGTGGCTTCGTAGGAGGCCATGCTCGGCATGATTCGAAGCCTCTTCCTCCAGAAGCTGGAGCAAACCTCGGGCAACGTCTTAATGATTAGAACAGGGTTTTGGGATGTATTTTACTACTATGTATAATAGGAACCCCCAAAGGAGTATTGGTAATGATTCAGGCCCGTCTATTAACACACCAACACCTACCTTTTCAGGATGTAGGGTTAAGGCTAACCTAGAAAGCCGCCAACCCTCCATGGGCTCTATCTGACAATCCTGCAGAATGAGGTTGCGGGGTGCTCTAGGTCAGAAGTGCAGCAAGGGTTATGGCTCGAACGAGGCAGCGGCTAGAAGTGTAGGGCTCAGGCTAACGTTGGAATTTCGGTGCACTATACTACGGTTTAGGTTCAGAGAATCGGGTTCAGGGAGTCTGGACCACATGGCCCAGAGTCAACGGCTGCTGAGAGACAGGGCACCAAGGACTGCAGCAAAAGCAGGAGAAGCCTAATGCCAACAGAACAACAACCACAGCTGTGGTGGTCACGGTGCTGCGGCTGGCGCTTCTGGTCGTTGATGTGGTTACGGTGTGGCTATTGGCGATGATGATTTGGCTGGTGATGATGATGGTGATGATGACGCTGATGATGGTGGTGATGATGGCGACGGTCATGATGATGATCGCGATGACGATGATGATGACGAGGAGGAGGAGGAGGAGGAGGAGGAGGAGGAGGAGGAGGAGGAGGAGGAGGAGGAGGAGGAGGGGGATGACGATGATGATGGCGATGGCGATGGCGACGGTTGCGGCGACGATGATCATGATGTTCATGGTGGTGATGATGATGAAGACGATGACGATGATGACGATCATGATGATGAGGGGGAAGAGGAGGATGAGAAGAAATGCGATGGGGATGACGATGATGATGGCGATGGCGCTGGCGACGGTTGCGGTGATGATGACCATGCTGATGATTATGATGATGACAATGATGGTGGCGATGATGGTGAAGAAGACGATGACCATGATCTTGATGTTGGCGGTGTGGCAACCAATGATGACTATGGCAATGCTGGTGGTGGTGGTGGTGGTGGTGGTGGTGGTGGTGGTGGTGGTGGTGGTGGTGGTGGTGGTGGTGGTGGTGGTGGTGGTGGTCGCGGTCGCGGTGGCGGCGTTGGTGGTGGCACATCATCAGCCTCCTAGGCAAAAGCCAAAAAATCCGAACTCCAACGGTGCTGATATTTCCAAGACACGGCCAGCCTCGTGTGTGAGACCTTCCCGGTCAAGGCCTGCACGAACAGCTGCGAGGATCACGTCCAACTTCTCCTTCACATCGAGCTTCTGCAAGACGTAGCGCTGCCTCTTAGGGTTTCCATGGCCCAGGGCGTGGGCTTTGGGGTTTTAAGATATTAGGCTTAGGAGAATTCCTAAACCATGAACCCCAAACCGGAACCAGATCTGTAGCTTTCTTGGGCATTTGAGGCTTCAAGTCTCTGACCGCGCCTCTGGTTCAGCTTCATGACCGGTACATCGTGAATCATGTGGCAGAAATTGCAGCCTTCCACATGACACGCACCGTTCTTCGCCACGTAGATGCAGGGGCGGGTGCAGAGGGACGGATGCCCGAGGCTGCCCGGATTGCAAGGCACCATGTTGCTTGGAATTGCTATGCTGCAGCTTGGCACTAGACGAGAACGTCACGAACCGAGCCGCAAAAGCTACGCCCACGGAAATGCCATTGAAATCAATAGCAATCCTTCACAACCCAAAAACCTTTCAAGACCCATAATAGTCGGCTGTGCAAGTTGGCCCAGGCTTTAGCTCTTTGCAGCTCTAGGGCTTGGGGTTGTAAAGCCAGGAGCTTAGGGAGTTAAGCGTTGAAGCACATTCAAGAGCAATGGTTCATTTTGTACTTAGGACTCAGGAGTTAGGGTTAAGGCTACTAAAGCAAATCCAACATGTTGAACCTGAGACAACGTCCGTAATCTCATAATGACGGTGACCCCCCATACCGTGAACCCTAAGCCATATGGGTGGTTGTCAAAATTATGGTCCCCTTTTGGGTGCACTAAATATTAGGTGCCGTACTATATTAGGAACCCAGTAAGATAATTTTGACAACCACCCATATCTACACCCTAACCCGTGAAGGGGTAATCGCACACGCCGCACAGCCCGACGGGCCTTCTTGGCACCCGGCTCCTGAGGAAGCGGCGGTGGATTCAGAGTTTAGGGTTCAGGGTTAGGGTTTAGGGTTTGAGGTTTAGGGCTTATAGGGTTTGAGGTATAGGGTTACTTGGGGGTTCATGGGCAGTTGTAAGTGGCTTTATAAGTCCCCTAATATCGGTCATAAGTATAGTTACCCTACCTGTAACCCTACTTCTAACTACACATGAACCTCCAAGTATGGTTTGAGGTTTAGGGCCCGGTCGGTACAGATAATTCTGGCTTGCAGTGGTCCAGAAGGACTGGCTGTGTCTTCAAGAAAGACGCTTGACAACTTCCAAACCCTGAACCCGCAACCCCAAACCCTAAACCCCGAACTCTCAGCCCTACACCCTATAAGCCCTAAACCCCAAGCCCTAAACCCTAAGCCCTACACCCTAAGCCCTGAACCCTGAGCCCTAAACCCTAAACTCCAAACCTTTCAATCGACCTAAGCCATCATCGAAAGTTTGAGTCGCAATCTCTTGCTGTTAAGATGGATGCTGAGTACGATAACGAACCTGCTAAGAATAGATTATCGCCGTCATCACTGCTCACACGAAAGGCATTGCTTGTAGCCTCATTCTGCATCCGAATCTGACTGATGCATACCTAAACCCCATAGTCACCTTTATCTTGCCCCGAACTCTGCGACCTAAGCACTAAATCCTACATCCATATTCTGACAAAGACCCATCCGGCCTCTTCCGGGGTTCGCTCAGGGGCCTGCGGGGACGCCTTGCGCGGTAGATGGCTGCTTGCTCCGCATCTCGAAGTTTGATTTGTGCAGATTTAGGGGGGTTTAGGGATTTAGCGGTATTAGGGTTGAGGGTTTAGGGGTGTAGGGTTTGGGCCTTAGGGTTTAGGGTTTTGGAGGCTCGGCCTGCTGTTTTTCGCTCGGAGGGGAGCCCAGGACCTGGCATGGAGGGCCCTCCTTGGGATTTGGGCCGTCGTCCAGTCTTGATGGAACAGGTCCCCAAGGGTCCAAAGGACCCAACAATTAGGTACTCGGTTTTAGGCTACTAGTTATGTAGGTTAGGATTTTGGAGAGTATATACTTGGACCCTTGGGGGATCAAACATAGAGGCTACGAGTAGAGTTGCAGGAACAACCCCCAAGAGAGGACTACATGACTACGCCAAGGCACTACACAGGGCCTCAGCGGCCCGAAGCCGTCAACGTTCTTTGGGGTTTCGGGTTCAGGGATAGATTTTTGGGGTTTATCCGTTTTCGGGTTCTTTGAACACCGCCATCGTTGAGTCCTCGATCCGAGACCCGAAAACCTGGTGAAGCAATACGGGAGTTTCCGAAGATAGGGGATCCCTAGTAAGGCACCCTGAATAGTAGGATCCTGATTATAAGGACCCCAAACGGAAACTGCTAGATGTTGCGTTCATAGGGACATGCCCTAACCCTGTCCGATCGCCAAGCTCCACACAAATGTTCGGTTTCGAATGGTGTTGCTTTCGTTGTTTTCAGGCTATAAATGCCTTGGTGGAATGAAAGCCTTGGGGGAATGAAAGAGACTGAAGGTCATCTAAATGGACGCGGCAACAACTGAGTTTGTCCACCTCTCTGCCCAAATGCTGTTGTTCTGCTGATCCGAAACCCTAGAATCCGAGCAACTCTTGCGCCTGAGGCTTCTCTTCACCGTTGCCTGTGCCTGCACAGGAAAAGGACGTCAAAACACCCTACTGTGCTGCAACAATCGATAACCCCTGTCGCGATCGGAAAATAAATCTCGCGTCCTAAACTTTCGTAAGCCCCTCATCCTAAGGCTTGCAAAGCTGCAAAAGCCTCTCGGTCACAGACCCTAAGGGTTCATGTACCCAAATACTGTATACTTTGGCAATAAAGTAATCCCTGTATAGGTACTTTGGGGCCAATGTATAGACTAGTTGGGTACAAGAGCCTCAATCGTAAATCCAAGACTCCTGCAGAGTCGTGTAGGGGCCTTAATAAGTAGAATGGGGGTTCCTGTAAAGGGGTCTATAAGGGCTGCTACAAGGGTTATCATATGGGTGTAGAGTTCAAGGGCCTTTATTAGAATAGGGTTTTCGGGGATCCTCATTATGTTTGTACCGCAATATGCCCCCCCCCCCCCAAAGCCTTTTCTGATTATTAAGGCCCCTAGACGAATAAGCATCTCGATTCTATGCGATCTTAGACATAGACGACATCGGGGCTGGAACAGGTGGAAGGTAGCACCGTTGAGGTGAAGCTCAATAATGATGGTAGCCTTCTTCCCGGTACTCAGTTTGTTTTAGGAAGGGACCCCACAAGAAACAGTGCAAAAGGGCACTAGTGGCGAACCTGGCTAGACACAGATTTCGAGAGCCATGAGCTGGAGAATGCAGATACGGACTTCGAAACATGAGCTTGCGGATGCTTGGGGCTTACTACATTCCTTTTTGCCGTGTAAAAGACACGACGACTGATAATCACGAGAATGGTTATCAACCTGGTTATCACAACCACTGTTATTCCGAATTTTGCATTAGATCTCAGATCAATACACCTCCTTCTGGAAAGGTTTAGGGTTTAGGGTTTAGTGGGTTTAGGGGTTTAGGGTCTAGGGTCCAGGGCTTAAGTGTAGGCTCAGGGCTTAGGGCTGAGGGACTATCCTAGAGGCGATCACTTGACATTGACAACAGACCTTATCATAGACAATACGTAGTAGGGACCCCAATACTCGGAGGTTCATGGGTAGTTATAAGTGGGGTCATAAGGCCCCTAATATGAGTTATGAGTGTATAGATACCCTACATATAACCCCACTTATAACTAGCCATGAACCTCCAAGTAGGAATATATACACCCCGAAAAGATTAAAGGATACCTACTCAGCTGCTAAGAAACCCTAACATCTAGCCGTCAAATCCCTAAAACATATCCCGAGCCTTCCTTTGTTCTTTCGGCATCCTGTTGCGCTCTGTTTGCCACCTTCCAGGTTGGACAAGGGCCCCTGGTTTAGGAGTTTCGAGCTCCTGGGCCTGGGCCCTTGGGGAAACTGTGTAGTCTAGGTTTAGGGTTTAGGGTTTAGGGTTTAGTGGTACGGATGGGCGCTTATGTACAACAACGACCCTGAACACTCAACCATGGCTTCGGAAGGCGGGGTCCAGTGCCTCGGGTCCAGGTTGATGTTGGGATTGTAGTGCGACTTCATGCAACGCAAAGCACGAGATGCACAATTATTCTCAGCTCTACTAAACTATGCCCTATCCTGCAGGAACCACACTGATCTTGCTGGCTACTGAAGCTCCGATATCCTTGCGCCCAAGACCCTGCTGCCTCGAAGCTCCTGAATCTAAGCCGTCAGAGCACAAATCCTTTAACCACAGACAACAAAAGCGGAAAGCCTCCACACCAACACATCTGCCCAGAAACTCCAATATCCCTCAATTAAGGAAGAAACCTTAAATTATAGTAGGGATCCCTAATGTAATTTAAGGTATATTCCTTAATTAAGGGATATTGGAGTCTCTGGGTGCGTCCGACCTCCTTGATCCGGTTCATGAGGACGATGATCGGATTGCAGCCCGGCTTGATCGGCCCCTCCTGACCCAAAGGCTCCATGTGGGTAGTCGTCAAAATTATGGTCCCTTTTGGGGTCCCTATTTTGATACGGCACCTATTATTTGGGTCACCCCAAAAGAGACCTGATTTTTGACAAACACCCATGTAGCTGTATGGTATATACCTCGGCCCTAACGTACCAATATGGGGACTACTTTAACCTTATGTATACACAATATGAGTACATGGAGCCTTTGGGGTGAAGACATGAAAACCGACTGTTCCGATCGTCAGAAGAAGATCGTAGTGTAGGTTGTAACATGCCGTCATACTCGCAACTGTGAGCTTCGGGATGTAGGGTTTTTTTCTGCAGCATCTTTGCAAACAGTATTTTTTGATAGAACATAGAGCTTGGGTGATTCCTCAGCCCCAACCCGTGCATTCATCTAGGCAGGGCTTCGCACTGGATCTTCCGGGAAACCCAAACCACTACCTGGACCAAAGGTATGTGGAAGAATAGCCTTTCATAGGTGTTGGGTCAATATGTTACCTAGTTTTCAGGTTTCGGTAATGGAGCGGCCTCAATAATTAATTAGAACAGGGTTTGGGGGTTCCTTTTTGCAATGACAGTATAATATATGCCCCCAAACCCTATTCCATTTATTAAGGCAATTTGTTTAGTGCTCGAATCTGATAGGCCATTGCACGCATCCTCAGAAACCACACGTGGAGAACCCATGTCTTTCGTGCCGAGGGCTTGTCAGGTCTTCAAGCGGATCTTATTCAGTTGTTATACAGGCTTTAGACGGATTGCTGAAGGGGTTTCTGGGATGTTTTAAGGTTGCGGCATGGGGGCTTAGAGTTGCGGATCTTGGTTTCCCTAGAGGACAGCCTAACATAGAGGCAATCGAAAACCAACCGCTTCGAACCT